TGGGGCCCGGCCAGACGCGCCGTGGTCCTGCCGCCCGCGTCCTCCGGGGCGAGAAAAGGTGCTCCGCATCTCCCTGGTCTGCTGGGGCCCCCCCAGCGGCTGCTCCCCCCGCCCGCGTCCTCCGCGGCTTTGCTCCGCGTCTCCTTGGTCTGCTGGTGGGCTCCCCCCCAGCAGATCAGGGAGACGCGGAGCAGCTTTTCTTGCCGTGGAGGACGCGGGCGGCGGGACCCCAGCGTGTCTGGACTGTCCCGCCGCCCACGTCCTCCGCGGCGAGAAAAGCCCCATTCGTAAGTAGGGATCTGACATAAGTCAGATCCATGTAACTCAGGGACTGCCTGTATTTGCGTAACTATCTGGATCTCATTTTAAACACTGGAAAGTCATCTTGTGGCTCCCACTCAGAAAATCAAGTTTATTGGGTCCAAATAGATTCAATGAGTTCAAGAGTATTTCTGCTGATGGAGTGTTTTCAGGTGATATAAGTTTTTGCCTCAGTTGGTCTGCAATCTCAGCCTTCCTATACAGTTTCGATGTGCCGGGGGGCCACATGTCCACTTGCACAGAGGTGATCCAGTTCGCAATATTTTGCCTTCACCCCCTCCAGATGTGGCTTAGGCTTATTTACTGTCCAACTCTTCACCCCCTGAAAAGATTGATCTGTGTTCCTCAGTTGTTCATAGACTCCTTGAAGTGGTGGTCATTGTCCAGGTAACATTTGCCAGGGTGTTCCTTTCATCTAGCCTTTGCTATCTAGATCTGCTGTCACCGATGCTTCCCTAATGGCTTGTGAAGTGCACCTGGCAAGGTTTGTGATCAGAGCAGGAGTCCTCCCTGCATATCAACATGGTGGCTCTTCAGGCCATCAACAGTTCATGTCTTGCTTTTCTGTACTGTATCAGTAGTTCACATATTTACTGATAATACCACTACAATGTATTACATGAATAAGAATAGGCAGCGCTGCATGGAGCCCGGGGTCAGCCAGAGACTCTGACCCCAGACCCCATGTAGGCTCTTCTGCTCTAAAATGCACAGGAACCCCTGCTGGGGACTCTTGTACATTTCAAAGCTGGCATACCGCAGCAGCCTGGGGCCAGTGGGAAGTTCTGCTGATACTGGACTTCCGCTTTGAAATGCACAAGAGCCTGGGGACTTTTGTGCATTTAAAAGTGGAAGTGCTCGCGTGGAGCCAAGAGTCAGTGGGACTTCCTGCTGGCCTGGGCTGCACGCGGAGTTCCAACTTAGAAATGCACAAGAGCCCCCATTGGGGCTCTTGTACATTTCAAAGGAGGAATATGGAAGTGCTTATCGACTAGATGAGTAGTAAATTAATCAGTATTTAACATCCTTAATAGCTACCACTTGCCAGGTTTCCAGAGTCATCTTGCAGATCACCTCAGTAGGAATTTTTTGCTGTGTCATGAGTAGCCTGAAGACAAGTCCCCCAAGTCATCTTTGCATCTGGGGGCATTCTGATGATCAATTTGTTTGCTATGAAGAGCCACAGGAAATGACACCTGTTCTGGTCTCAAGGGGACCTTAGCTTGGGCTCTTATCCAACCCTTTGTATGTTATTTGGTACTTGGCTTTCATGTACAATTTTCCCCAATCCCAATAATCTTCAAAGGTTATTCTCAAAATGAAGGCAGATTATGCCAAGCCCATTCTCATTTTCCAGTGTAGCAGAGGTGGTGCTGGTTCTGTGATTGTTGTTGTTGTTGTTCTGTCAATTCAATCTACCATGCCCCTTATGCTCCAATTCAGCCAATTCAACAAAATTACTGTCACCTACTGCATCCCATGTCTGCATCTTATGGTGTGGCTACT